GGGCGAGGGCCAGGCGCTCGGCCCGCGGAGCTGACGGCCCCTCGGCATCCCCTTGCAGAGAGCCCGCTCCCAGAACATCGTGCCCTGTACTGTGTCACAACTGCTGGCTGCTGAGCAGGTCGATGAAACCTTCAGGATCCGCGACGTGGAGATATCTCAAGTAAGCGCCCAGGGTGGCCACTGGGCAGAGCTGCCAAACCCCGAGTGGGAGCGTTGCGAGTGGCAACAGCTTTCCCGTGCCAGTCCCCCACTGTAACGTTTTCCTTCTTCCAATGCAGGTCACTATCATGGGGATAATCCGGCATGCGGAGAAAGCACCGACAAACATTCTCTACAAAGTAGACGATATGACAGCGGCCCCGATGGATGTCAGACAGTGGGTTGATACTGACGTAAGCACCAGTGGGGAGTACAGCGGAGAGAATGAGCTTTTGGATGATTCTTGTAACACCAGTTGGGTAGGAAAGATGGAAAAGATGGAAAAGATTTAAGTTGTAAGCAAAGAATGGAAGAACAAGAATCTAACTTTAGCTTGGTCCTTGTTGCGTGGAAGAAAAACTCAAAATTTAGGTTTTCTTAGTCATTTTCAGTAATTCTTTGTGATAAACACCCCATCAAATTCTCTGTGTGTGTTATGTTTGTGTTTATTACCCCTCTCTTTGTTATGAACTTAACGTTTTCTTGAAAAAATAACGTGACTGGTTTGGAAAATGTTTTGGGAATAATGTAACTCGAAAAGCTGAGGAAAATGTTGCAGTAGCAGAGGTCACCAGTGTTGTATATGAGTCTCCTCCTGCTTTATAATTCTACGCTTCTACATTGAAGCATGCTGAACAATTTTTGAGGTATTTAAAGGCTGAAGCTTGAACGTTGCTTCATAAATGAATTGAGAGGCATTTACAAGAGGCAATGGGCAGAAACTGAACCACAGGAAGTTCCATCTGAACCTGAGGAAAAACTTCTTCCCTGTGAGGGTGACAGAGCATTGGAACAGGTTGCCCAGAGAGGTAGTGGAGTCTCCTTCGCTGGAGCTATTCAAAACCCGTCTGGATGTGATCCTGGGCAATATGCTCTAGGTGACCCTGCTGGGGCAGGGAGGTTGGACTAGATGATCTCCAGAGGTCCCTTCCAACCAATTTCCCTTCCAACCTAAACAATTCTGTGATTCTGTGAGAGATGAGTCCTCAATACCTTTGTGTAGAAACACAAGGACAGAAAGTATCTGAACAGAGATTTTTGTATATGGCTCAGTGACTGATAATACCGGTGAGTATCATCATTGCTGATGCATGACTCCTGAAGTGATGGTAGTTTTCCACTGGATTCTCATGCTGATATAACAAGCTTTTAAAGCTGGACCCTGTTATTAAAACATATTTGAAGGCAAACAGCTGAGTTCAGACGAACAACTTTGAAAGAGTAATTAAGCAAATGTTCAGTCGGCTTAACGACAAGTTTATCATAAATTAGAAGAGGATTCTGTGACTGTTTCCATAACCGTAACCCAAGTTTTATAGCTGAACACTTCCTTTTTACTACTTCAGGGCTTTTTCCCTCTTGTTGCTTTTTGAAGATCCCCCAGAAGCGGACAAAGACATCGGAGCGCTGTAATACAAGTGGCTTCAGCTGCTCTCAGATATGCAGTGTATTCAAACAAGAAGAATTTTTTTTCCCCTTTCACTTAAGTTTTTCCATTTTTCACTTACACTAACTGTTCGTATTGGATGTAGGAATGTATGGCTTTTGTGTTTGCTTGAGATAAGCCTCTTTTCTCAAATCACTTATTGTGATAGTGGATAAATGGAAATGTGAATCAGGAAAACCTTGTTTTTTCCCCTTTTCCTTTCTGTTAGGAGGCAGGTGGTGAGAATGTTGTAGTACCTCCAGGAACTTACGTAAAAGTAGCTGGTCATCTTCGGTCTTTCCAGGTAAAATCATGTTATTTATGTATGACTCCTCAAGTAATGAGGTTGGAGCAGTGGCTTGAAGGATTACTGATCTTGTAAAGTGTTAGGGTCTTTGTAGAATATGCAGTTAATCATGATCTTTAGTCAGCCTTTCCTTGAATGTTTTTGGCAATGCTGTTCCTAAGTGCAAAGGACAGAAGATCCATTTAAAATTTCATTGTTCATCCGTACATTGTTTTCTGCTGAACAGTACTGGCCACCACATTCTTGAATGTTTGTACTGTAGAGCTTAGATTTTATTCTGGTCACTAGGGGACACTTTATAAAGGGTAATAATGTCATACAGTTACATCATAATAGTCACTGTTTAAATAGTGATGTGTGCATTAAAGCAAAGTGCAGTTAGTTACTAGCCAGTTAGAAAATCACACATATATATATATATATATATATAAATATATATATTTTTTAAGGGTTGTCCCTTTGTCTTTGTGAATTAATCTCCTTCAAATTCATTACTTCATTATTGAGAAAGGTAGTTTTTTAGCACAACTCTTAAAAGCATCAGAACATGGCTTTTCATAGGGTCAAAAGCCAGGAGCCATCATTCTAAATTCTTATCCCATCTTGTGAGAAGTTACTTATCTATACTGTATTTCAGAGCTGCATATGAAAAGTAGTCCAAAGACCTGGGCACTAGTTACAGTGACAGCAGACAACCCCCCTACCCACTACTATCCTTGTTCCTAGAAATAATGATTGGATTGGGCGTGTGGCTGTTGGCTGTGATTTAATTTTTTTTCTTTTTGCTTCTTTGAAAGAATAAGAAGAGCTTGGTGGCTTTTAAGATCATGCCTCTGGAAAATATGAATGAATTCACCACACACATACTAGAAATTGTCAATGCACATATGATCCTCAGAAAAAATCTTATGGTATGTACGTGGAGATCTTAACCCTTACACACTGAATGGGGGGGGCTGTTGGTTATTTTCCAAAGAGATGGACCTCTTCTTTCACTGGGGAAAGTGTATTTAAGTTGTGACGCTGAAGAGCTTTAAATTGCTGGAGGGCTACAGTGAAGGTATGACAGGAATCTCGGCTTCCTTGGAGGGAAATTGTGCTACAGTCAATTTCCAATTGTTTCTTTGGGAATCTATTTTTAATTACTGCATATCTGAAATAACATTCAGTCTTTCATCCCTCAGGCTTGAGGGCAGTCCATGTAACCGTAGCCCTTTTACTCTTTTAGTCAGCATCAAGAATGCCTCAGTCCCTTTCCTCTGCTGGGATAGGTGATGTGGGGAGCTACAGAGGAGGTGGCAGCCTGCCAGTGAACGGACTTACAGCGCATCAGAGTCAGGTAGGTGCAAACAACAAGCTACTTCTCCTGGAACACAGCAGTCACAGTGGTCACCGCTAGGATGCGATATAGGACAAAGAAATGAAAGTTCAGGCATTCTCTGAAGACCGATAGCTCTTCCTGGAGCTTTCTGTAGCTGTCCATTGACGATAGAGAAGTTTAGTTGTCTACTAATGGTGGTTGTGTGGTGCTAGACCTACTGAAGACCAGAAAGTCGTAACTGGAATTTTGCTGTCCCTGTAAAAGGAGTTTAAGTCTTCGCAGTAACTGCAGCTAACATTTTGCAAACTAATGGAATGAAGATGTAGAGGTACTCATGGTACTGTGAACATAGGGGAGAGAAGGAGAGGAGGAGAAGTAACATTGGAAAATAGAGCATAGTCTGCTGTACTCATGAATAAACTGCGAATGCTATCCCTAGATTCTTGTTCTTCCAGGTGCTGAACTTGATTAAGAACTGCCCTGTTGCAGAAGGTATGAGTCTTCAAGAGCTAAAATTTCAGCTCCACAATATCAGTATGGCAACAATCAAGTAAGTATATAGAAACAGATATCTTGGTATATCCAGATATACCGGTAATTCAGGCTGTCCTTTGTAGAGTCTGATAAAGGGAGGGAGGGAAATAGTGGGCAAGATGTTTACTTGTTAAACCACTCTAGTAATTTCAGACATTTCCAGTAGGAGGTGGTAGTGAGCCTGAGCTTTTAAAGTCTTTCGGTGGAACAGGTTAGACTGAACCATTGTCAGATGAAGTGGTGATAAAACGCATCACTCATTTTCAAAACAAAGTTACACGTACCTGGGAGTATTACAGCACCTCAGTAGTATGTGCTGTTCTGTGCATGAGTTTGAGGACTATCTTGTTCTCTTTGCATATTGGACAAAATTTGGGAATAGACTTTTTTTTTTTCTTTGTCTCATGTAATTTCCCTTCCTGGAGAGCTAGAAAAGACAGAAAATTCCATTATCTTTCTGTGTTCTGTCCTCTTTGAAGCAGAGAGTTGTAGGCACTGCTTTTATCTGGAAAATAATAGACAGTGGTGGCCTTTCCCTGCATGGAAGGGAAAGGCTGAGAGCCTTTGGGTCATTTTACCTTGCCTTTGGAG